TCATGAAAAGGCACTGTCAGTGCTAATCAACAAGCACATCACAAGAGACAGGAAAACCACTAACAATTCAGCTTTCTAAACTGTTTCACAAAAAATATCCTTTAGGTTTTTGATAATGCTGTGGGTACTCTGAAGACTACTGCTAGCCTGTTGAACATTTTATCTAGGTAAAGACCAGAGAAGCACAAAACAGATCCCGTTCTCCTTCAAGCTTCATTATCAACTTCAGGCTGAAGCATTTATACTCATGGCATCACAACCAGGACAGAAGTCAGAGCTTAGATGAAGTGGATGGAGTGTCTAGTAGATAATAATTCAGGGCATAAACTTCCATCTCTACTTCACCTGTCTCCCTGCCATCAGCATGGCTCAAAAAACCCCAAAACCAAACCTAAAAACCAAATCCAAACCAGAGTTTACCTTTAGCACTCGAGCTTTCACTACCAGCCCTGGCAATAAATTGGAGAGCGTCCAGTTCTGTCGCTCTGTTGCGAGGGATGCAGCAATCTCTGATTGATCAACGGACAAACGGACCACTCTTCCCTCGTTCTTTGCTTCCGCAATGACACAGTTCAGGTTCTGGCCTATTTTCAAGTCAGGCCCTACAAAGACAAGTCACAGCATAAAACCTCCACCAGGAGCACTCAAGAGATTCCCTTTCACTCTTTCCAAAGCTTTTTCAGAGTTCCCACTATTTTAAGAAGTTAGAACTCCTCTCAATCTGAGTGAATTCTACTGCCAGCAAGGATGGATAGGCTTGAAACAGTAACTTAGTCTGTTAGAAAGCAGGCTGAAACCCAACAGTTTATTGCAGACCACCCACAAAACTACTACATTCAGCAACTCAAAGACTCCACCTTGATCCAGTCTCACTGAGGTGCACTCAGATACAACAAGCTTTAATCCCTGTCATTCTTCACCTCCATTTTAACCCCAGCAGCTCCTCCTGCACTACTTCTTACCTCTCTTGACTGCTTTGATGTAATTTTGGGCTTTCTGACGAGGCAGGAAAGCGTGAGTCCCACTGACTCCAATATCAATGAGGTAGCCATGGTCTTCCACACTAGACACAAAGCCAGAGAGCAGCTGTTGGGAGGAAAACACTGAAATTCAGTTACATGATGAAACAGATGGGTCTTCAAAGAATGTACATCTAGTAAGAGATTCCCCACCCAAGTACTCACTTGTTTCATAAGGACAGAGAACTGAGTTCTCCAGAGAAGCAGAAAGAACACGACATCCTTTCTTATTATCACACCCCATCTGGCAGCGGGTTCTCAACTCCACCCTTATGCAACTACGCATATATGGAGTTCACAAACCAGTAGAGAAAATAATTGGGATGCCCAAAAATAACAGCTCTAATTGCAGGCACACACAGCTGCAAACACAAAAACTAAACAACTAAGCACCTCTGCAAGGCATGTTAAATATTATTCTCTGCATAAATAACAAAGAAAACTACCCAGAAAGGAATCATTAAATAACTTGTCCATATCGAAATAGAATCAGGTGAATGGATTTCAGGAGTGACAACCTGGAACCATGGCACAATGCTGCCCTCTCTTCCCAGGTTTCTTCCATGGTGGGAGCAGCTCCACGTTCTGCTCTGATCCCATGCAAGGACAAACTGAAACGTTCCCCCATGCACTGTGCAAGAGACGCCTCCAAAGCCTAGAGAGGCTGTGGTAGACCCAGAACACCTACCATGCCCGATGTTAGTGCTGAAGCATTCAGACCCTTATTGACCTTCTTGGGGTCAATCGATAATTTGATACTGCGACGTCCATCAGCACTTTTCTCAACACTGGTCACAATGCACCTGACCAGTGTCCCTGGAGAATACATGTCCATAAGTGAATTCAGGTCCTGCCCAAGATGATCAGGAGAAAAACATACAAATTTTACAGTAGTAAATAACAGAAGGAAGTCAGAATTTGTTACTGAAGTAGCTTTTGAAATCAAAATCCCATAGGAAAGTTACGTTTTTTTGTCAACACTGCAATAAAAGGCAGGAAATACCCCAAACTCCAGGATCTCAATATAGAGGCAGGGATGACATTATGTGATGTTAGTAAGACTGGTAGGCTTTGCTTAAAAAGGAATACTGTGTGGGTCAGAGTCAGGAGATTGCAGCTGAGGAAATATCCGCAGGGCCAACAGTGACCCTAACCTCGCCACCCTCTTTAGCAGAGAAAAACACTCCCACCAAAAGGCTAGTGTACCTGGCAGATCCCACATTCCACATCACCTTGGGAAAACCTATGGAGTGCTGACACCAGAGAGATGAGTATCAGATTACTACATCCTCTTTCTAGCAATCAGCATTATCATGAAATTGCAAAGTTTGCTTGGAAAAGCCAGTTCCAAACCAAGATCAATCCACATCAGCACTACACAGCAGCACATTGCATGCATCAACACACAATTAAACTGCAAGAACCATGCTACTCCCCCATGCCCTGAGAAACACTTGCACTCTCACACAATTTTTCAACCACTTCACTAACTTCTTGCCATCATTGCCTACAGCCAGCAATCAGTATTTAGCTTCGGCAGTAGATACACAACACAAATCCTTCCATGTTCAACAGCCTGTCCATGAAGTTCAAGGATTATTTTTAGCTAAGGCACTGCATGCAACCAAATTCAAGTCAGCTGCAAGACACCAAAAACCAGGCTTCTATGCAAGACCTCGGGTTCTAAGGTATTATTAACATTCCCTAGCTCCCAGGCACAAATCACAATCCTAGTCCAAAGTCTCACCTCCAGGATTTCTCCCTGGGCCACCTGCTTGCTCAGCATTTTGCTGTAGGCATCACTGATCTGTGTGACTGGTACAAATCCTGAAAGTCCATTGGGCAAGCTGATGACTAGCTCGTAGTCACTGACCTCTTTTATACAACCAAGGAGCAGCATCCCCTCACAGAGCGCCTGGGAAAGCAAGAAGCATAGTATACTGTGGATATCTCAGCAAGTCAGCGATAAAAGAGTGGTAAATACACTTTTGCCCCAAATCACTGATATATTTTACAGGTCTAGTGAGGAAGAACATGTCATATTATGTAGCCCAGGAGAGAGATGCACACAAAATCACACATTTATCCACAAACCTCAATTGTGAGTGGTTCAATATTCAAAACACTGTCTTTAGCAGCAAGTGTTTTGTCTGCCTTGAACTTTTTCTGCTTTCCTTGATCCCTTTGGTTCCTTTTTCTTTTCTGGGATTTTTCTTCATGATGAACCTAAAGCAGATAATAAGCAGAGAGAGAAAAAAATAAAAACAGATAAAGAGATGAACTTTACACTAAGGCAGAACTCTGCTGCCATGAATAAAATCAGAAGAAAATACTAGAATTGGAGAAAGAAAGAGAACAACCTTGCTAACTGCTATATGTCTACATGTAAGTCTTCCAAAATACCTCCTTTGGGCTGGGGCTGATCATTTATAAAACTGTAAATCTTGGGAATGGAAATGAGTGGTGCAAGTGATCTGCACCACACTCTACTAACAGAAAAAGAAAGATGAAACTTAGTCTATATCCACTAAGACCAGCCTCACTACACAAGCACCTCAGGATAAGATGCTTGTAGAAAGTTTAAAAGCCTGATCGATAATTTTGATTGAACATTTTTTTTATAACATTCAACATGCCTCATACATCAGGGTTCTTTAAGAGCACAGAAGAAAGGTGGATATCTGAAGTTACCTCTTTCTGGAAGTCCCTTCTATAGTTTACTATAGAGGTAAGGGATAGGAATGATTGCAGGTCATACTCTGACAATGGAAAAGCTCTGAAAAAAGTTAATCAAGAACACACAAATAACATACATCAAACAAATTGTCCCGCTCTAACTTTGGGTTGGGGGTTTTTCCCTCTGTGTTTTTTTTCTGGATGCCTCCTCGAGGAAAGTTTTCTTCCATGGTTGCCATGCTTCCAGTTCTATAGGACAAATGACAAAACAGTGACCAAATGTGCAGTTATTACACTCAATCCTCACAAACACTGGAAATGTAAGAGTAAACTACCTCCAAACTAAGAATGCAGATGGCTACCTTACAGTTAGCCAGTGATGAAACAGGAATTCATTTCCAAATGTATTTAACATTTGACTGTACTGAAGTGTTGCAATGGTCCATCTAAATATCTGAATCCTGAACACTTTTACCAGAATTAATTTTCTAAGGCATTTAGATGCATCACACAGATATTCATAAAACTGCTTTAACCATAAGTTTCCTGAACAGACCCTTCATTACATTCAGTGGACAAGCTTAAGTTACCAGCTTCGGCCATCAAGGAAAAAGTTGTGAGTGAAACACTATGTAAGCTTGGTCTGCATTTTTACATTTTGGATACCACCCTTAAAGTTTAATATAATTTAATGGATCTTTGTATAAGCTATATATATATATATATAAATTTAATACATATGTTTAACCTCAGTATGTTTCAATCAGTAAACAACACCTTATTTATTAGGTGACAGTTCAGATGGTATTTAATACTTCAGTGAACAGTACTTCTACATAAATTAGCTCTGGAACAATACGTTGTCAAATTTAAAGTAGTCTGTTAAAGATATAAACCTCACTTAAATGCGAAAGTACGTAATAAATTAAAGTTCATCAAGGCACGCTTCATCAAAGGGCTCGTTAAACAACAGAGCCACCTTCCACGGCCGGTAACCGAGCCGGCTGCACCGACCACGGCATACAGCTAGACCAGGCAAGGGCTGCAGCTCTGCCCACAGGGGCCTTACCTCCCTCGGCCACTGCCGCTCTGGTCCCCGCAGCCCCTCACCCGCCGCCGCCGGGCCCTGGGCTGCTGCCAGGGGGAATCCCGGGAAGCTGCCGGGGAACGGGCCTGGGAGCCACACGCGATGGGCACGGCGAGGCAGCCGCAAGCAGCACGTGGGGCAAGGGGCAAAGGGCAAAGGGCAAGCGGAAGTGACGCACACGCTTCTCAGCCAAGCAGAAGGAAGGGGGCGGGGAGAACCCGCTCTCTGGGCTGTGCAGCCAATCGGCGCGGCCCGCGGTGGCTGCGCGCGGCGCTCGGCGGCCGCCATTTTGTGGGAGGGCACTGGCGAAGGACGGAGAGCGGCGGCGGGTCGGCGGTGGCTGAGGTATTCCGGTGCGTCTGCGAGGGAGGGTGCGTGTCCCGGCTGCAGACCGTGGCCCGCGCCTCCTCCTGTAGGGCTGCACCGCTGAGCGGGAGAGCGACTCTCTGTGGCGCCGAGCCGCGGCTGTCCCCTGGGGCGCCCGCGACCTTCAGCCGCGGCGTCGCTTCTCTCTGAGTACCAGGCGCCGCGGCGTCCTTTCCTTCGGCTCGCCGTGAGCTGAGGCGAGGGAGCCCCGGGGTCGCAGCTGTCTGCGCCGCAGAGATGGGGCTGGCTTTTGTATGGGGTGGGGCTAGCGCGGCAGCCGATGGCGCCTGGTGTCAGGGCAGCAGGCGGGGCGGGTCGCCACTGGGCAAGGGCAGCGGGCTCTTCCGAAAAAGAAGACGTGTATTGTGATGTGTGGGCTCACAGTCGTCCTCGGAAGGACGCACTGACTCTTCTCCCCAGGCTTTTGCATAGGTCAGGCATAAGAAAACGTGACCTTGGCTTTCCAAGTCATGTGCGGCAAATGTTTTGGGGGCTTGATTCATTAAGATTTTTAATCGTAGTCAATCCAGTTACAGTTACACTGGATTATACACCAGCGATGCATTACTAGATTGGATTTGCATAAGAGCTGTGTTAATGAATGTAGCACCTGCATGGCTACAGCATCTGCCTGGTTTGGTAGGTAGCTGTAATGGCGTGTGTGCTTCTTTTGGGGTGAGTTACAAAATAAACAGCAAGTGTTTGTTCTAAATATAAGACTTTTAAATATAACAAAAATATATCTCTAAACATTAAAAAGAAAACCCCTCTTATTGCAAGGGTGATCAAATACTGGAACAGCTTCCCCAGAGCAGTTGTGGAGTTTTCATCTCTGAAGATGTTAAAAAGTCTTACTGGATGTGTTCCTGAGTGACCTGCTGTAGCTGCCCCTGCTTTGAGCAGCTTGGGGTTGGAACGTGCAATCTCCAGAGAACCAACTGCAACCATTCAGTGAATGTGCAATTATGCTACTGTAGCCATGTCAGGCTTTAGTGTTAATGAACTTCTTATAGCAGATCTGAAACTTTGGTCCAGACACAGACAAAACTCGGAAGTGTGCCCTCCTGTACTAAGTGCTTTTGTTTTTTCTGGGAAAGACCTTCTGAGACTTTGTAGCTAGTTCAAGTAACTTGCTGATCTAACTGAAAAATAACAGAAAGGGAGGGGGGAAGTATATTTTTACCTAGATCTGTGAATACCAAGGTGGGCAAGATGCAATAGAAATGTGCAGCCAAGAGCAGGGCAATGCTTATTAACAATACTTTCACTCTAATATGGTGTAAAAGTTGTGGCATTTTGAATCACAGAATTGAGTAGTGGTCTAGTCTTAATCTTGTCACCAAGTTCTTGAGTATGTAATTGAAGCTGTTTCTTAGCTGAATTAGTGAAAATTTATCTTTATTAGGTACTGCAGATTCCTGAAAAATTAATTGGTAGAAATTTGCCTGCGTTGAATGGCTATGTAGGAAGGACTGGCTCCTGACTTACTTATAAGTGCTTTCAAGAATTTTCCCTTTTACTCTCCTGCCTTTTTTTTTTTTTTTCCCATATTTAAACTTGGTTGAATGAATTCTGAAAATCATAAATGTTCTTCCCCTCAGAACCCCACATTTGCTTATCTGCTCCCATGTCACCTGTTTTGTACCTTAAGATACAGTGCTCTGAGTGTGCCTGCTCCTTATGTGTATTCATTGTCTGTTGAATGTCCTGAAAGCAGATTTAATAGCTGATAATGAAATTACTAAATTCAATGTAGAGATTACTTTGACTTTTCTATTGATCCTGTCTGATTTTGTTAGGACAAGCAGCCATGGCTGGCCATGACTCGGGATCTCAACACCAGTTCACTGGATTTCAGAAATACTTCAATTCCTATACCATCACAGGCAGGAGGAATGTATGTATTATGTATATTAACTTTTGTAGTCTAGTATAATGGTGTTTTCTGGGTTTTAGACTGAAACTAAACTTAACTTCTATGTTTTTCAGTATGTAATAGCAACGTACACGGGTATTGCAATGATCATCTTGTATTTCAAGCTTAGACCTAAAAAGAAAACTCCTGCTGTGGCAGATAAGTAAACGGTAAGTGGCTGGTTTTCTTCTGAGACCAAAATGTTCCAATGACAGCCCAGGAAGAAAGAGTGACAGAGGACAAGTTGCAATACCATGTAATTACAGAGAGAAAGAAAAAGACAGGCACATGAACTTTGTATTTGTTGTTTTAAACCTCAGCTAAGCTATTGCATCAGCTTGTTTGGGGGTGTTCTGAATGAAGTAAGTTGTTAAAGGGGGATGCAGAAAATAGGGATACCAGTATTCTTTTTTTTTTGTTCTGACATGGTAAATGGTATTTGGGACAGCATGCAGAGAGGAAGAGTAAGAAAGGAAAGAGGAATGGAAGGATGTCGCATCTAGGTACATCAGGCTTTGCCTACAACTATTAGGTGCCTCTGGTCTGCCCTTTTTCTGTAAAATAGGGGTAACTGTTCCCTTATAGGTTATTGAAATAATAACAAAGTAGTCTTGAGGCCTTATTTCTTAGTTGTATTCCAGAATTCCAAGCAGAGATTAATGTAGTGAAAACCTTACTTTGAACAAAGAAGCACCGTACAGTGAAACTGTATGTATTGTAGTTACACCTGATTATGCAAGGACTATATGGAAGTGATTGGACTTGTTCTTGTAAAGCAACAACCAAGTGTTATAAAATTCTAGAGTCACTTTCAAATACAAAATTGCCACTGAAATGGCATTTTGGAAAAACCTGTAGGCTGTCCTCATAGTCTGCAAAAAGGAGTAGAAGAAAATAATCTTGAGCACCATTGTTGTGTGCTAAAGGGACATCAGTCATTTCTTCCTGGGTGTACTGAAATTTGCCTGCTCATGAGTAAAATTGTTTGGGCTTGGTGAAGGGGGATGCTTGGTTAATAGTACTGCTGTGCAAGACTTGCTATGTTTCTTTTCTCTCAGCAGGTTGCTGGCGTGTCTGAACCTCCAATCTGTGTCATTGTAATGCAAGCTGATGACCTGTTGTGGCTAATAAAATAAAAGCAATTACTTTGGGTTTTTTGAAATATGAAATGGTGCAAAAAAGCATAAACTGTGGCACTTTGCTTTTTTTTTTCCTCTGTCAAAAATAGTTATTTGTAGTGATGATGGAGTAGCTGTTTTCTGTCACTACTATCTTAACTAAACTCTTCTGCTGTTATAACACATCCTAAAGTGTTCTGAGCACCTAGTGGTAACCTAGGAAAGATGTCAGCAGCAGGACAATAATACTGGCCCAGAGCTTAAGAGCTGATCAGAGCCATCTCCACGCTTCCATGTCATAGTGGTTTGCGGTTACCTAGTTACTCCTTTTTTTTTTGCTTTCCGAGCTAGTAGCTTACATGGAGACAGTGACTTCTTCATTACTATTACTGCAATGCAGATTAAACTTCTGTCTGCATTTTGCACAGAACCCATCTGGTTTTGATGAAAAACCTCCCAAAATAGATTGATCAAATGATGGTATTTGAGCTTTTTCTGTTACTGGCCTCTCTTGCAGAGGTAACTTCCAGAAAGAAAATGGCTTACTTTGCTGATATTAAGCTCTCATAACTGCATGTTCATAAACAGTGACTTGAGTAGTTCAGTGCTTATTTTTCCTGGACATAGTCTCTTAATAAATGATATGTTCCTACCACAGTTAGATATATGCAGCCCCCTCCCTGCCCAACACTGAAACTTGTCTATCATGTCCTCCACGGTGTCTTTCTATATCTCAATTAAAAATCGGCACCTTCCTTAGATGTCACATTAGTGCTACTGTGTGGATGTGATTGTACAGCACCCTGTTTCTTGGAGGGGTGCCAGCAGCAGGGGTTGAACCTGGGACTTCTGATGCTAAAGCATGCAAATGTACTTCCCCAACTGAGGGCAGCAGGAGGTAGGCACGGTTGCGGGAAAAAGAGAAATTACAGGGGTGTTGTGCTCACTCGAGTGCATGTATTCTTAAAGTTATTTGTACATGCTGGGCTGTCGGAATAAATACAATCGTTTTCCTCTCATGAGTTGATGTATACAACTTTCCAGATGACTAATGAGTGTTGTAACAGTGTAAATAGATCTAATTACCTAGAACCATCACCTACCCTTAGAACAAGTTCTACATGAAAGGGGTAGTCATCCACCTAACTGTTTCTGAATGACTTTGTTTCTCCTAGGAGAACACTCACAGGTACAAACACTGCTCTTGCTTCCATTGCAGCCATGATGGGAAGAAAATACCTTCTTGTAACAGATAGACACAAACTATGTGGTTTTAGTATTTATTATAATATCAAAAGTACAAAACTGTACAAAATACAAAGGCAGAAAGTGGCAGTGTTTTCTTTAAACTGTCAGAAGTCTACATGTTTTGTTTTAGGTGACTTGTTTGATTCACCATAATTGTATTTAAATCCAACTGGTCATCTTGAGAACTAGGAAATTCTGTTGAAGTACCATTATGTAAAAAAAAAATCTATAATAATTTAGTTTAAACACTTTGCTTTAAATTTCCACATGAGCTTCCTAATGAATTTTCCACTCTATTTTGATGTATAATGCCTGTAATATACCTTTACTCCAAGAGTTAGATTCAGAGAAGGATGAGAGGGGAGGTAGTTCTCTGTTTACTTTACCTTAGAAATGTAAAGTCTTGATTTTATTTTCACTAGAGCCAGCAGATTGTTCAGGTGTCCAAGCCCTTACTAAAAAGTAACAAGAAACACAAAACAGAGTTCCCTGTATACAGCTTGTAAGATATTTCAAGAAAAAAGGACAAAACCCCCAAAATAAAGCCAAAACCACACCAAACTGGCCTGTCCTTTGGTGGTGTTTTCTGGTCGAAGACCCAGAAAAAAGTTATACTTCCCAGTGTTCTGCATGTTTTACTCTTCCTCAGAAATAAAGCACTGAAGTTTATTGGTTGTTGAAGAGGACTGACTGGGGTACAGTTTTTTGTGGATAGAGACTCACTTCAGCAGATAAGCTGGCCTTTCAAAAGCAAACTGATAATACACTTAGGACTGATTAATCCTTTTACTCTGCACTATGTTTCAATTTCTTGGCTAGTTTTTAATTTTGACATATTAAACCTTATGCAGAAGAAGTTTTAAAAGTTCTTTTAGATCTAATACAATGTAAAAAGGTTTAAGCCTGCTTTTTTAATAGTGGGTATTTAAGTTGTGCCTCAATCCTTACTACCCCCTCACCCCCCCCTCCTCCCCCAAGTATGAAAGTAAAGTTCACACTGCACTTTTGGTTGCTTATAACACTTCCAGCATTGGCTGCCTGTGAAAACAGAATAACAAGATCTGTGTTTCTGATACCGCAGAAGAACACAGGAGTTTGAAATCTTTTCAGGACTTAGTACTTGGATGCATAAAACCCAGGCGTGTAACTTCCTGAGAGTTCCGCACAAGCCTCTGCCTGTAGGACCAACTCTTTCAATGCCCTGTTTGTTGCTGTGATACTCTCACCATACCTGTTGCCCAGCCCAGGCTATAGTGGATTAAACAACATTCTTCTTTTCTGAAACTGAACAGTTTTGCTTGTGTTTGAGATGGATTAAACATTTGCTAACCATAAATTAAGTGCTTTAAAAAAAAATAAAAATCATTTGAGAACACATACCAACACTGTTAACTTTCCACAAGTTTCAGCAGAGGTCAATACCATCTCAGAGGAGACAGTAATTTTTTTTTTTTTTTTTTTTTTTTTTTTTTTTTTTTTTTTTTGGTTATCAAAAGCACCATGAACAATTCCTTCTTTTACAGTCATGATGTCTTGTCAATCTCCAGCATTTTCAAACTGTGGATAAATATGAAATAGCAGAATTGAAAACCACTGCTTGCATTAGTTTACACAGTTCTGTTTTTCCTGCAACTAGTGGGATCCACCTGTACAAGACATTCCTCCTCGTCTCACATCCTGAGGTCACTACTGCAATGACTTGGCACAGTCAGTTCTAGTGCTTCCCCATTTACTGTGAACTGTAGGCTCCTGCAGCCAACAGCAAGTTTCTGCGTGTGAAATGGAGGTGTACAACTGGGGTTGATTTGGTCATGTATGTACCCAGTAATAAGTCCTGTGAGTTTTCAGGCAAATTTATATGTCCAGTGGCTGTAGTAAAGTCATCAGTTTCTAAATCTTCAAAAGCCTTCACAGCATCCCACAGACGCACTGTGTTATCCATTGAACCTAAAGAACAAAAGAACAACAGTTTGAAGTCTTTTTTAAATAGAAAAATTACTGGGGAGCAAGTTAGAAATTCAAGATCAAAAAGCAGGTTTGCTCCTAACCTTGCAGGATGAGGACATGACTTTAACAAGCCTCTGACATACTGAATGCAGACATTAAACTTAGCAGGATTTCAGCTTTCCTGTACTCTAACCTGATCGCCCTGTGGATGAGGCACAAAGTACTACTCTCTCAAAACACTTGGGTTTGGATTATATCACCTAGCACTGGAAAGGCAGGACCACCCAGTGGGCTAGATGCCAATTTCAGGAAATGTTTATAATTTTAAGTCACAAAATAAAAAGTTATTTGTTTGATACAGAGAAAACAGCAGAGTTTTGTAGGCCTAGTGGCCTGTGCTTTCACCAGAGTGTTGGTAGATAAAGTAACCACCAAGTGGGCTGGATCAAACCTGTACTGTGTCTGTTAGCTTTCAATCCTGTGGTAGTGGCTCACCAAGGATTCTCTCTGCACTACATGTAGGAATGTGCTACTAAGTAAATCTAGAATATTCCTAGCCTGGTTTCATAAGGAAATTACTCTGATGTAATTACAGTCTGTCCATCATTTCTCCTGTCAGTAACTTGTTGGCTAATTTCAACCAGTTGACAGAACATGTTTCAAATTCATTAAATTGCTATACTTTTTGAGAAAGCAGTTCACTAAACAAAGAGAGACAAAACTTTGTGCCTTTGTGAAGGGAAAGCTGGCAAAGGAGCTCTGCTATATTAGGTACCAGAGAATCCATGTGCACAGGCAGGAAAAACAAGCAGGCTCACAAGTTCTGCTGCTCATAGACCTGATTGTTAATATTACATGCACATTTCTGTATCAAAAATCTACCATGAAGAAATAAATAGTAAGGGTGTGGATAACTCATCTTCCTTTCCATCTCTTCCTCTCTTTAGTCCTGCTGCATGTCCCACTCCCATTCCAGCATCTTGCACCTCTCCAGTCAGCCACTTCTTTTCTGCTCTAGAGTTACTTTTAACCTCAGATTGCACCACCAGCACTGTACACAGATCCCAGCCTTCACTATCTGCCTGTATGACACCTTTCCTTCAGCTCCTGGGAGAGCAAGGGGTCATGCTGCACAGTCCGTGTAGTCCTTGGCTTGTACGAGCAGTTTTAAGCTGCTGCTTTCACTAAACAAGTGATTCTACTTAGTCTTCCTCAATTTAAGGAACCAGTTACATCATTCCTCTTCAGACTTATGGAGGACAATGGAAACTTCACTGTTTCTAGTGAATTTTACCTGATGCTAAAATCTCCCCATCTCTACTGAATCTGAGCGCGTAGATAGTGTCAGTGTGCCCTTTCAATTCGCCAACCATCAAGCCATGTCCAATATCCCACAGCAGAACTCTTCCATCTGTTGCTCCAGTAGCCAGGAATCGTCCATTCGGAGAAAATGCCAGTGAATGAATTGGTCCCTAGAACAGACATTTGAGGGGGACCAAACAAGTCAGTTAAATCTACTCATGTTCAGCCAGTCAAGCCATATTCAACACTACTTCAGAATCACATAACAGAAACTGAAATCACTTTCACTCTGAGTGATATGCCTTTACCTTATGTCCAGTGAATATTCTTACACAATTCCCATTCAAAACATCCCAGAGCCGTATAGTCCTGTCTGCTGAACCCGTGGCAATATAGTTGGAGTTTGGATGAAATCGGGTACACGTCACATCAGCAAGGTGGCCAGCAAATATCCGTAAAGGCTGGTAGTGATCCGTTGCCCACAGCCTGAAAAGAAAAGCTTTATTAATAAAAAGAACTCTAATGAAGTACATTATCTGTGCCTATTAGAGGGGGTCCAGAGGAGGGCCCAAAAATGATCAGAGAAATGGAACACCTCTCCTATGAGGACAGGCTGAGGGAGTTGGGGATGTTCAGCCTGGAGAAGGCTCCATGGAGACCTTATTGCAGCCCTCCACTACTTGAAGGGAGCTCATTAAGATGGGGACAGACTTTTTAGCCAGGGCCTGTTGTGATAGGACCAGGGGTAATAGTTTTAAACTAAAAATGGGTAGATTTAGACTAGATATAAAGAGGAAATTTTTTACAATGAGGGTGGTGAAAACACTGGAACATGTTTCCCAGAGAGGTGGTAGATACCCCAGCTCTGCAAACATTCAAGGTTAGGCTGGACCGGGCTCTGAGCAACATGATCCAGTTGAAGATGTCCCTGCTCATGGCAGGGGGGTTGGATTAGATGAACTTTAAAGGTCCCTTCCAAGCCAAACCATTCCATGACTCAATGATCTGTTGCACAGTAAGAAATAAAGAAATAATTATGCAGTGGTTTCTTACTGGTCAGTTTACTAAATTAGCAGGATCTACTTTGGAAAAGTATACTTTTCAGAAAGGAAAAATAAAGAATATTCTGTCAAGTTGTTAAACAACTGCAAGAGAATACTTCTAGTCAGATGGTCACATAAGAGGACACCATCTCTTTAGTCATGAGATAATCTGATGTGTGTTGAATAGAAAAATAACCCAACATGAAAACATTTGTTCAGTATGTTAACTGTTATGAAATAAAATTTATTTCCAGTAATAGGGTGGGCTATAGTATATCAGCTAATCGCTTTCAAAGTTAATCCACCACAAATTGACCCAAGCAAGTAAAATCCTATCCAATTTCTTACCGAGCCACTCTGTCATGTCCCCCTGACACAAAGTAATAACCATAAGGAGAGAATTGTGTATCCCATACTGGATAGTTGTGTCCTTTATATCCCACCAAACACGTGAATGTTTGGAGACTCCACAATCTGACAGTGCCATCCTCAGAACAAGACAACAGATAGTTCCTGTCACAGAAGAAAGTATAGCATTTTACATACCAAATTTACACACAGACTGTATAACCAATGCATAAACACTGCAAGATGTCTATGGTAAGAAAAACTGTCCACTGAACAGCATCTGTTTAGCATGTCACATATAAATCAGCATTTTGGTGTGGTAAGCAGCAACAACCAATTCAAGCATAATCCAGTCCTAGGCCCTTATGCAAAAAAGAGAGACAAATGGATGTTGAAGACTAATTCTGATGACACTCATAGCAATACTGAAGTGAGGGGAAAACAAACAAACAAACAACACCCCCACAGAGCTGGTCTTCTCAGGAATTCCAGTTATATGAAAAAAATCACTAGTAAACTGCTATGAAAAATATTAAAATCTTTTAATATAACTCTAAACAAAATTTCAGGATTCCCTAAAAGAGAACTCATATCACGTTCACATTCTCAGTTCATAATTATAGACTCTATATTCATGTTCCATACAAAGTTTCCTTCTAAGCTGTGTTTTTATGTGAAAAGCAAAACTTTAGACATCTAAACTTCCATTCTACTGTCCAGACTCTCATACAATTATGAGTTAATTAAGAGCTTTAAAACTGTTAATTCATAATTATTTTAAAGATACTATTCCATACATTTTGAAAATTAGGTCTCAGTAGAATATGAGAAACCTGAAGAAGTTCAATGATACGCTACTCTGTCTGGTTTTACATTTTGAAAGTTAAATCAATCCTGCAGTATTTTTCCTCTCTACAATCCCATTAGTTAAAACCCAACTTAAACTACAGTTTGCAGAAAAGATGGTCTATTTTGTCATCTAAGTCCTAAACCTCAAAAAAGGTGCTGGCATCCTCAGCTCCAGTTGATTTCAGTAACAGCTGACAGTGCCCAGCACCCTGAGCATAATACACTTACACTTGCACACAGTTTCTTATAAGGTGTATAAACAAGAATTGCTTTAACCTTACAGAAAAAGCTGCATTAAGAACATGTTTGCATTCAGTAGCATACAATTAAGACAAACAAGCTTGTTAGCTTGTAAACTTATTTTACCTATCGGGACTGAAGCTGGTGCCATAGACAGGTCCACTGTGACCATATAAAATCTTCAACTCACTTGCTGTTTTCTCATCCATGATCCTTTCCAAGACATCATCTGATTCTTTGTCGATGAGACTGAGGTCTGCAATATTTCAAAGTTTATGTATCATCATAACTGTCAGAAGTCCAAAGATAAATGCCATGAACAGGAAAACAAATAATATTATCTCTAAAAGAGGCAAGTATAATGTCAATGTGACAAAAGTATCTGGGAATTAAGTCTGAAATATACAATGGCATTTAAAATATTTTTTACCATTTTAAAAGGTGAAAATAATGCTTTACATAAATATTCACTCTTTCTTAAGTCTTCACTGAGCTAAAATAAATTAATCCTGATGTCTTATTTTTCATACATATATTGTTTTGTCTCCAAACACATCTTCTGGACAGAGATGCCAAATTTTTGCACCTTTTCTCAGGAAGTTAATATGCCACAAACATGCTTTGCAGACATGTTTTGACAGCTGCACACTATGCACAACTTAAAATAACTTTTAGTCTGTAGGCTACTGTTTGCTGAACATCATGACCACATCTCAGTTACATATCAAGATTAAGAAACATTTGCATGGTATTCAGCTTCAACCGCAACACATCATTACATAAACAGCAGAATTAAAGAAGCCTGGTTCTTTACAGGACATTTTCCTCCACCTCTGTCAGAGGTCCCTCCTATAATTTCCCCCAGGGTATCTCTAGTCTCTCCCCTAGATCACCTAAACCCAGCTGTCTACTATACCCAGTAGCTACCATCCAGTTAAGAAGCAAGATGGCTAGTTCCATGCTAGTTATGGCTAGCTCCAAGCTCCATGCACTGACTACCTCACAGCAGGTGTACACAACCAGATTTCTCATTCCTTTAAAGATGTTTCTACTGATTGTATGTAAGCTGTGATCATACATCTGTGCACATATTTTTTCTTCAAAATGAAAGCATCTGACTGCTGAAAACAATTCTCCTGCCACCGACATCTTTGTTCACACAAAACGCAGCTGTCACAAGTTATGCATGCTCATATTAAGTGTTATTGTCTTCATTACCTGCTGCTGTTTTCACACTACGTAGCTTTTTCGGAGTCACAGACCACACTCTGACAGTGGAGTCAGCAAAGCCTCCTACAATCATGCTAGAGTCATCTGTAATATCCACTGCAGTCAGACCCTATACATAAAAGATCCATTAGTAACATTTTGATCTTTTCATGATGCATTTCAAATAGTACAAAATCCTAAGTACTAATAAGAAAATTAAATTTGACTTATTTACAAAAATAAGAGGGAATTATTCTAGGATAGATGTAAACACACAAATTCTTGCACCATTAAAAATAAAGCTACATGGATAAAGCACAGCCAATAGTGACAAAACAGTACCATTCTTCAGTATTTTGGTGCAAAACATCTACCATATTCTGTAGAATACAGTTAGGGACTCACAGGAAAAGCAAACAAAGCCATTATGGCAAAATCAGTGCAAAACCAAGGAACATGGAAATTATATAGTTTAAGGAGTCTTTAAAGAGAATTTTGAACATTTGGGAACATAAACTCTGCAATGTTTACTCCAAATATTCCAATAACTGTTGCCAATGCTTTAAGTCTTCTCTCTTTATTAAGAGTGATGTTTATAATTTTGATTCCCTTTTCCATTTTACCCAAACTCTTCTTTTACCAACCTGGTAAGCATTAAGGAACGTGTAGAAACAGATGGAGGGCAGGCACTCTGGACCAAGACGCACACGCCTTGCAGCTTCCTTCATATTCATTACTTTATCCAGCTTGTCAGAGTCTTTCAGTTCAGGCAGAGGAATTCTACAAGAAGCACACATTTTTACTAAACTATAAACTAAAAACACCTTCCATAATGCTAATCTAAACAAAGAGTGAAACCTTTGCATGCAACCCTATACCTCAATATTCAAATATGAAACAAGAATTAGAAAAAAATGGAAGACTATGTAAAAGATTAGCCAATGAGAAAAAGAGCCAGTAGCTTTAGGAATTTCAGACAGGCAATGGAACGAGATAAACAATTGAATATGACCAGAAAAGATTACTAAGTAACTGAGTAAAATTTTATCAAAGGAAATCTAGATTGACTTGAAGGGCAAAGACAGAAGGTTATATGCCAAGCTTTCCACTACCTCACTTAGAAGTCTTACAGCTAAAGCTGTGTACAGCTGAAATGGCCAAAATGCTAAAAATGTCTAATTTGAATTGCTGTTCACATGACATGATAAGACTGGATTTAACCAGACTTCTCTATACATTGTTCCCTTGATACCTGTTTTGGGGAGGAGCATTAGGGTCTTGTTTTTTACTTTTTGACCCTACACTATCTTTTTTAGGTTTTTTCTTCTTTGGCTTTCCTTCCTCATTTTCTCCTTCTTCATCTTCATCATCCAAAGGCACATCAAACTCTGGTTCTTTCAATAAGCCAAAGAAAACCTGCAAACCGTAAAACACATGTGAGACAAAACAGTAATCACTGTTCTTACTGACAAGTAATTTTTTTAATGGGAACTTTTCAACATAATCGTCCAAGCAATAGAGCTGCCCCTTTAAAACTGTGTTTAATATTACTGCATGCATTACTAGTTAGCTCGTAACAAACGTCATACATGTTCTGCTGTTTTACCCAGCAACTGATCTTGTACTCTCTCTCAGAACTTCCTTAAAGCAGAATCCCTACAGCTTACATAATTTATCTGTAGAGCACTGTGGTACTACACTGTCAAGATCTACACAGCCCTTGCAATAATAACTAGCAGTATGTAAGAATCACATCTGTTGTACAAAAGAGGGAGCCAAAGTCAGGTGTCCACTTTAAAACCACAGTAATTAACAGGTTAGTTTAAGTTTTGTTCTGTGGGCTGAATACAAGGTTGTCTCCCAAAGAGGTTCAACAGTTTCTTCTACTAGACAGCGACAGACCTTGATCTCTACTCCTGCCAACAACTATTTGTACAGTTCTCTTCCTTTGTTCTGTTCATGATGTCTTTTAAGATCTCAAGTGACAACTGTCAGCCTATAACAGAGGTATTTCCTGAAAAAGTAGGGAGAATTATAAAAGTGCAACAACCTTTGTCCCCTACCTTTGCTTTATTAGCCTCTCGTTTTGCCTCCCCAGCCAAGCTTCCAACCATAGCATCTATCTGTTGTTTACTGCGAGGCATTCCATCAAAGATATCAATGTAAAGATGTTCCTGAACAATGTTCCAGATCTGATTGTTCTGCTTTTCCTGAAGATGCCTCTTCAAGAGCTGGTAAGAGTCACGGGAAATACGCAGCACAAACTTGCTTGTTCGGAAATCCAGCATGGTCTCGTTACCTTTCATATGCTCTTTTTTGGTTAAGCTAGATAATACACGCAGGTCATCCTGGTAGTAGCACTCCTGATCCCCATGAAATCTATTGAAACCATTTAAGATATGATAAAAGATTTATTACAGAAACATTATTTCCTAAGTGCACACTTATTTACATTAACATGAAACAAATATGCAAGGACCTTTTGGAAGCTACTGAATACATATGGAATTCTTTTTCTCCTGAAACAAATTTCACCCTGGGGAAGATACACCAGTGACTTACTGCATACAGTAAGAGCAGTCAACAGTTAAAAAAACCAAAGTGAAGAGAACACACAAATGGAACCTCACAGAATTTCATACACCCAAAGGGTTCTCGCCTGAAGTAAACAGTTACACTAACATGTTTATTTACAGAAGCAAAACCTTATTTTGTGGTATCATAAAGTACATGGCATTTTTTATTATGCAAGGCTACCTGGATGAATTTATATCTAATTCATTATGTGAATATGCACATTTCCCAGTGTATATTTCTCACTCTCCACTTGCATTATGTAATGGCTAACATATGTCTAGAATTTTCTATTTTTACTCAAACCATACTATGAAATAGTTGTGGCAGAGAACATTTTAACTGGGAACCATGTTTGCTGATCATATTGGAAAGAGACAAAGTTATCCTTTTGGACTGAAATATTTTGTAACTGTTCTGAATCCAGAAAAGAAATTTAATTTTCTGCTCAAATGATAAAGAAGTAAAACATAATATGAGCACAGAAAATTATAGAATAGGCATAAATTAATTAATTCAATGTCATTTGAAGATTTTGAATATACATGATATGATATTAGCAAATACTTTGGCATCTGAGAGTAATTTTCCAGTGCTAAAAAATGACCCCACAGTCTTTTCCCCTAAAGAAGCAGCATCTCTTGATGGATACCTTCGCAGCAAGGAGCCCATCAGCTCACCATAAACATTGTTCAAAATCTGCCCATGGATAGTTTATAAGCACATCTTTCTAATATGGGAGACTGGAAAAGGATTTAATGTAATCCATGGCACCGTTACTTCAGATGCCAAGTCTCTTCAACGCTAGAGAAGAAAAATTTTATATATATACATATATACACACATACATATATACACACATACTATACACACATACATATATACACACATACATATATACACACATACATATATACACACATACATATATACACACATACATATATACACACACACCTATGCTACTAGAGCTTACAGATTTAATCAAAGTAGCAAACACAAAATATGCAAATACACAAATGAAAATAAATTACCTTTCAAAAAAAGACTTTGCTTCACTCTCATGTTGATTGTAGACCAATTCCAAGTACATGTGCACAAAGAGAGGATAAAACAGCTGAGACAATTCCGCTCGATGACAGTCCAGGGAACACTCAATGAAGTGTTTTAATCCACTGTAGTATTCCTCATACAGTGTCGGATCTCCCTGTTGATTGTAGGCAGACAATACTGCACTCACATCTGGCTGATCTTCCACAACAACGCCGCCTCCAACTGCAAAAATATTAGCATATAACAATAGAAGAGCTTGTAAGACTGCCTGAAAGAGCTAGCAAATATACAGCGGCTAACAACTCCACTGGTAAGGTAAGTCTTGTGCTTATTCAGCACTAACTTCAAATGACAATTGAGAGGAGGGTAGCACATCCTCTCCAATCAGTCCAGTGGCCAATTCTCCCAATACCTTCAGCCATTTTTTGCACTTTCCCCACCAAGTTACCTATTTAACATAGTGCCTAATTCAGCTAGGATTGTAAATGTAAAGGAAGAAGCCACTAACAGCAACAAAGTTATCTTTACTGCTAAGGCTAGAAACCCTCAAATGAGGAGTAAAATCTTTCTAAGCCTGTAAGATATATCCACTATAATTATTTTGGTTCTAGCAAACAAACAAATTAAGTTCGAGTGAACAATTCGCCAAGACCACTACACAACCATTACCCTTGAGAGCTCTGTTCTATATAGCAGTCATTAAATATTTTCATTGTTTTGTCTTTTATATAAAAACAATCGTACCAGGTGATAGCAGAAAACAAGCTGACTTTACACTATATATTCGCTGGAATACAGACATATCAGTTCCTGAATGATAGTATTCTGCAGAGCTGCTCCACAATTAAAAATACTTAAGACTCGAATTATTCAAAGGACTTCTCAAGTACCCAGCAACTCGATTCAGAAATGTATAAAGCGTCCTCTACAAGTATCCTATGGCTCTTTTCTTCAAAATGCAGCCTGTACATCAGGCCTCCATTCTCATCCCTGTGGCCACATCTTGAGCCATCATCTCTAACTATAAAGGAAGCCTTCAGCCTCCTGCTATGCTGTCATTCGACAAGGGGAAGCACCTCTCCCTTTGACAGTGCTCCTTGCAAATACGAGGGATACTTGGTCCCTTGATCGGGGGGAGGAGGGGGCGGGGGAACCCCCAGGAGATCCTGATCTCTTCCTGAGTTGTAGGAGGGAATAACGCACCCAGGAGTCCCCTTAGAAGGTCGGGGTAGACTCTCGCCTCCTGCCCCAGGGAGGGCCACCCCAAGAGAGGCACGACCTGACACCAGCCCTTGTGCCCCAGCAGCACGGAAAGCCCCCAGGGCTGCGAGAGGCCCCAGTCCCCGGGGGTCTCGCCGGGAGAGGGCAGCCACCCACCCCGGGCAGTGACCCCGCAGTCCCCGAGCGGGCCCCACCTTTCCCCGGCGGCACGGCGGCAACTGCCGCCACCCCGGGGCTGGAAGAAGCGACAGTGGCGACGCTGCCTCCTATGGCGATGGCGGCAGCAGCGGTGACCCGGCTGAGCAGTGCCTCGCCGCCGGCGGAGTCCGCATCGCTGCCCGGGGCTCCCAGAAGCCCGGCGCCGGCGGGGCTGAGGGCAGCAGCACCCAGGTCATCGCCGAGCAGGCGGGCTTCCCGGCGCAGGATCTCCTCAGACTCGCGGAGGTTGCTGCGCCGCAGGAACTGCAGCACGGCCACGAGCGTCTGCCGGTCCAGCGCCGCCGGGGAGGCGGCCGGGCCCGGTGCCGCAGGCTTAGGGGGCACCGCCTCCCCACCACTCCCCACTGCCTCCCCCTCCGCCGCCGCAGCCGGGGGAGCGGCGGCGGCGGCTGGAGG